TTAGAGTTTTAATTAAAATCAAAGAGCATTTTTGAGGGAAATACGATTTTATCCTCTTGTACGACAATTTTTATCTGATTTTAAGAAAACGCGTGATTTTCTGAATCAGCGCCAAACGCCAGGTGTAGCGCCTGGCGCTAGAATTGGCGTCTGGCGCTAGTTTTGGCGTCTGGCGCCAATAGCCAACGTTGGCGCTGATCAGGTTTTACGTGCGCTAGACTCTGTTTTGATATTTTATCTTTTTGGCTGATTTTCTTTATAAATAACGTGTTAAAAACTCTGTTTTCATGGACCAATAACCAGTTTTTAATCAATTCTCTCTCATTCTCTTCAATAATCATTCACCAACTCTCATCAAGTTTCTCTCTCTCTCTCTCTCTTTTCTAAACTAGCTTCTCTCAAATATAAAAATTCCGCATTCATTAGATCTAGATACACCTAGCCATATTTGAAGTTGCCTTCGACCTAAACGTTAAAGGTTTAATTTCTGAGGGTTTGGTCCCAAATCTCTATTTCAATTATTTAATTGTTAATTATTATTTTCCTTGAAGTTACTAACGTGTGTATTTTGTTATTAGAAAGAGGTACGAGGCATCAAAGTAAGTACTTTAATGATTTTTATTGATGTTATGATGTAGGGATCATGTTTAGATTATTATTTTGATATTCCTAGTATCATGTCTAGGGTAACTTTAATATTAAATATGATCGTTACGATGCCTTTTATGTTCTTCCTAATATTTTTAATTTTTAGTATCATGTTAGGGCTAAATATATGATTTTTATTTCTTAGTGACATGCGAGGGGTTGTTATTAATCTTGTTAGTATCATGCCTAGGATCTTGCTATTATTATGCTTTAACATGATTCATGATTATTTTTATAATTGTTTTGATTATTATAATTTTATGATGATGATTATTATTATTATAATTATTATGATTATTTTGATGATTATTATTATGTTGGTTGATATATATAATTTTTATTGCTTGATCACACCTTTTTAATTGCATGTTTAAAGGGAAATGGTACTTGTAATCATGCTTAATAAGATATTTAATAATCTTGTTAGGGTTAATTTGATTATAATTCAAGTGATCGCCAATAATAGATTTGTTTGTGCATTATATTCAACCAACATAGATTAAACAGGTTTAGGGTTAAACCTATTGATTGCATGTTAGTCAGAAAGCGCACATGAATACGATCAGAATAAAGTAGAGGCCTACTATTAGGGCAGGTTCAATCTCTTTTAGGTTGGATTTGTACCTTCATCCCCGAACCCTTATTTGGTTAAGACCTTATGGAGTTGACGATCTCTTGGATCGTTAAGGGGTGTAACCTTCACCTCGTGAACGGTTTACAAGTTCCTAAAAAACTTGTTGGCGACTCTTTTGCTCTATCTTCTTTCCCTTTGGACGCCACCGTACTTTAGTGTATGATCACAGTGGGGTTCAAGCTAGGGGATTAACGCTTGAAATATTCCCTACAATAAGAAATTTATCTTATAAATCTAATTTAGGTTATATTTGAAATGTAACCATTAAAGGGGAATGCCTAAAATAACAAACGTAACATTCTTTAATTTTAGGAACAGAACGAGTAGATCAATGATGATTGACTGGGTTTAAAACATTTAACTATTTGGCTTGTTTACAAATGACAACAAATTTATAAAGTTTGATTTACATATATATATTCAAATATATATTCAGTTTTAAGTAGGTTATTCCAAATTTAATTAATAAACCATTAATTCTAGGAAATTTTTTAAATAACCACCTTTTAAGTTTTTATTTATTTTACCACCCCTTAAATTAAAAAATTACTCATATTACCACCTTTTGAAAAATTCCGGTGGAATTCTCTTTTGTGGGCCTTACCCAACGGCTAGTAATGGCTATATTTAGCTTTCTAATTGTTTCCCTCCCCGATTTTTTCCTATAACACTTCCTCTAGATCAATTAGCCCTTTCTACTTCAATTTCTCCCAAAATCCCACAAATTTAGCTACTTTTTAATTGTAAACGCATCCCCAAGAACGAAAAAAGCTGAATTTGCATCAGGTATTCTCACTTATTTTTTAAAATTAGGGTTCTTGTCACACTATAATTAGGGGAAATTAGAGGATTATTTAATTAGGGTTCTTGTTTTTTTTTCTGCAAAATAGCTACTGCAAAGAACCCATCGTTGATTATTTAACGCCATCTTTGGTTGTTTGTTTGGGACCAAAAGCTGTGGTAAATTTCTTGATATTAGTTCAGGGCAATGGTGTGCATAGAGGTAAGCAATTCCGTAGCTTTATGCGAAATACCCTAATTCATTAGTAACAAGAACCCTAATTGTCGAAATACCCCAATTAATTTATGCAAAGAACCCTAACTCAAGAAATCCCCAAATTTCCCCAATTGAAACACGCGAAGAACCCTAATTTTAACAACATATCTTATTGCAAATTGAGTTTCTATACTTAGGGGAATCGTCTTCAAAAACAACTTAGCAAGAAGTGTGACTATTTGGTAGAAATTGAAGAAGAAACATTTACTTTAGTTTAGGAAGCTATTTTATACAAAGAATCGGTGAGGAAAACAGTTGCTAGCGAATTTATGAACAAAGAGGGAGAAGAAAGATGATTTTTTTAGAGGATTTAATGAATAAATTGAATGAGGAAAGGGTTTAGTTGAGTTGAATTGAAAAGTAAGAAGGTGAAATCTAGAGAAAATAAGAAGATAAAAAGGGAGGGAAATACGTTAGGTGGGGCCACTGACGGAAAAGTCACTTGATTTTTGGAAAGGGTGGGAATCTGAGTAATTTTTTAACTTAAGGGACGGTAAAATAAAATAAAAAAATTAACGGGTGGTTATTTCAAAATAGGTGTTAATTGTGGGTGGTAATTTAAAATTTTTCCTTTATTCTAACATATATATAATATAATTTTAACAAACATTTCATGTATTTTTTATGAAGCAATAAAGATTCGTTTTGATTTTAATTTTGAAATATTAATATGGCAAATCTTGGAATCCTTAAAAGGTAGGCACAACTAGGGCTATTCATCGGTCCAAGACCGGACCAAGGACCGTAAATTAGAATTTTAAAAACCAAAGACCGGACCGATTACACTAGGACCAAACCCGGACCGGACCGAAAGAATCGGTCCAAACCCGGACCAGGCCGCTTTGGACCAATTGAAATTTTTGTTTTAAAAAAAGTTCTATTTTTTTTTAATAATTTTATGGAAAACTCGAAAAAAGTAAATTCTACACTTTAACTTTGTTTTTGTATATTTAGTAAAAAAAAAAGCTCTGAAATTTAAAGTTATCTAAGCTTATTAAGGATAAATTTAACCATTATTAAAGATTTCAGGCATATTTTTAATAAAAAAAACCGGTCCGATCCAAGATCATTTTTTATAGGGTTTTGGAACGGACCGAAAAAAATACATTTCTAAACCCAAGACCGGACCGATTTTCGGTCCGGTACGGGGTCGTCTGAGGTGGTCCGGTCCATTTTTTCGGTCCTAAGCGATTACTATGTAAAATAAGGAAACATTATGCAATTTGTATATTGATTTTCACACATCAACATATATATTATAGATTTCGTAAAATTCAAAAAGAAATGTGTTTACTAAGGAAACAAATTTGAAATGTAGAAACATATCAGGAAAATCCATCAAAAAATAAATGTGTTTACCTACTTAATGTAAAGTAGTTTCATTTTTCCAAAGTTTGGACTAAAGGATATGGATGATCCTCTAACATTCAATTCAAATGACGTATTTGGTAGAACTAATCTTTAAGTTAGAAATTTCGGTAAACAAATTCTTTTATTTTAAATCTTGAAAAACTATAAATTATGTTAGTAAATTAATTAATTATTCTTTTCTAAAAATAATTAAATAATTATTCTATATGTATTGAACAACTCTTATAAAAAACATGCAATTATGGCAGTTTAGAAGTAAATTATATAAAGGCAATAGCTAACGAACGCCCCGTGGGCGTTGAATAATAGAACAATTAACTTGAAATAAACAATAATTACACAAATCGACGCGTGATTTAGGCATACATTCCCAGATTAGTAGCATTTTATGGACTTTTTAAAAGGGTTATCCAAAGCCTTAGGGGCATTCGTTAGCAAGATCCTTATATAAATGTAATTGTTCGACTAATTATGTACCAAGAAGTAAATTATGAAAAATACGAAATATATAAATTATTACTATATATGCTTTGGGATTCGTGATCTTATCCTCGTTTTAATATTATTAGAATAGATAAAATATATTAAATGAAGAGATTAAACAAATCCTTAGATAATTAATTCTCATTAATTTGATGATAAATTTTCTTTCTAGAAAATGGTTAGTTTTGCAAATAAAAAAAATATTTTTTAAATACTTCCTTTATTGCAAAATAAATGCCCCGGTTTGATTAGGTGCATATGCCTATATATAACTTTGACCAATAATTTTTTTTAAGAAAAGGATATACATAGGCCTTAGGGCTACATATAAGCATTAAAAACACACTATAAAATCGTATAAAATTAGGAAATCATGAAAATATAAACACTAATTACATTGATAAGGGCAACATTTCCCTAAAAAAAAGGGCAATATATAGCATAACCCTATTATTAATTTCAATCAGTATATATAAGTTGATATTTGAAAACTATAAGTTAATACGATATTAAAAAGAATACACATGACTATTTTTTTTTTTAATGAATCACAAATATGGTCAAAGTGCATTATATGAACCGTTTAAAAAAATAAAAATGGGCAGTTATTGAAATAGAGAGAGTAGAAAATAACATGTGGTTAGAGTGCTTTGACACATATGTTGACTCTGTTTATATATATATACACATATAAGTGTGAGTAAAAAAAAAAACCATTCAATACAAACCCAATAATTCTCTTAAATTTGTGCAAAAGTGTTATTTCTCTTTCAAACATTTAAGTTTGTCTCTTAAATTTTTTTTGTGATGGCTTCAATTACAGTTGGACATCTTTGTGATCTCCATGTAATGAGTCGAATCTTCCTTCTTGTTCTTTTAGATGAATTTTCTTTTGATCTAAAATCATCCCTTGTCATTATTGCTTTTATGATGTGGCTACAAGACTGTAATAATGACAAATATGTAATTTACAGATTGATACATATTTTGCGTATAGATGACGCAAAAATGTTTATAAGAGAAGTCGCTTACTTTATAAATTTCTTAGAATCATCGGCTGATGATCCTCAACATCTTTCCACCATATATGCCCCAATTTTTGACAATCCATTACGATTGGTCATACCTATACAAACCCTTTACCAAAACAAATACACTGCTATAAGCGGTATAAAAAGATATCTTAGAACAACTTGTACCAGAGTTTTTTCTGACATACTAGCTTCAAAACTACAATCTGCTTGTTCAATTCAATTTATCCCATACCAAATGATTCGAATTCCTGGATCTCCATATCCAATTTTTGGTTTCATCTACTTTAAATTTTGGCCTAAAAATCATGTCTTTTCCACAAATTATGACATTTTTTCGTGGATACATGCATTGGGCTACATCGAGGATGAAGAGGACCGAACCCTATATCTGACATTTTCAAAAGGTGAAATTGTATCAGAAGATGAGGTGAGATCATTGTTCACCTTAGAATTTGGAGATTGTGTCCAGCGTGTTCATATGCCAGAAATTAGGCATAGGCAACAAACTCTATTTGCGCGTGTTTCCATGAAGTACGTCGAGACTATAGATATAATACTTAAAGGTAAAAGTCTTATCAAGTTTAAGATTAGAGGAGGGAAGCATGTTTGGGCTAAGAAATATAGATATCGAAACTTCAAAAAGTAAACAAAATTATAATTTGAAAAGATATTGTGGCCCTTAATAATTTTGAAATAAAATGTTATTCAGTATCGCATACAAATTATAATGTTTTACTTATTGTTTTTACTCTCCTATAATGCTATTTGTATGTGTGGAAGAAGATAATCGCATGCTATGACTTAAGGAAACATGGTGTGTAAACCCTCAATTTTTAAGGTACAAAAAATATTAATTATAGAAAAATAAATAGCTTTTAATTAATATTGTGGAAGTATAAACTTGAAGGAACTGTCATACTTGACCACAATGTCAAATTGTAAGACTTACAAAATCACATGATCAACCTGCTTAATCAATCTTGAATGCTGACCATTATTTACAATTGTAATAAATGTATCGTCATAGGGCCACAAAAGATAAAGAATGATCGCAAAGAAAATAACTCAACATGTATTCAAAATGTTGAGTAACCGTCACTTATTTTTATATATAAAGTTTGCATTAAACGATAATATTAATTCAAATAATGCAATTACCACATAAGTAATATAAAATCATATAACTCTATATATATTGAATTAAATTAAACCTCAAACTTAATCGCTCAATCATGAAGGAAGAGGAGTTTAGAATCTTCAACAAAACAAATTAAATTAAAATAAACATATAAAAACATAATTATTTGTCTAATTAAATTTCTGGTAAATGTGAAGTATGCACAGCATACTGGTATAGACTATTACTCTAGAATGGAACTTTTACTACACGTCATTAATAACAGACACTATGAGAAAACACTAGTTGATAGTGTGAGGACAATTATATCTTTAAAATGTTAGTTTATTACTTATATGCCTCAATTATTAAGATGTTAATTGCATCTAAGGTTTTCCTTGTATGATTTTTTTTATTGAACTCTTATGATTAGTATTTAAAAATTTATGTCCTCTAAATGTTTATTAATTTATTCGCCCTCATTATTGTTAATAGTTACCATTTTCCTTTAACTCTTAAGAACATTATATGAACATTTATACCCTTAAAATTATTTGTGTACATTTTTTCCTCACTAATGTTACCAACAAGTGAAAAAGCTCTCTAAACAGGGCATTACCTCTAAATAACTTTGAATTAAAACAATTTTCCGCCTTTAGATAGTGTGTTAGTGAAGCAATTGTTCATTCTCTTTTCGCCTTTTACAATCAAATGTTAAAAAATATGCTTTGTGAAGGACGGTGAATTGAATAAATCCCCCACGTATCTTCCAAAAAATGATTTGGGGTCATATTAAAATGACTTGCTATATGCCTAATTATTTTTTTAGTGAAGGCTATATGCCTATATGGTGCAATTAGCACTGTCAAAATGGTTTGACAGTTCGGGTTTGATTCGGTTTGAAATCGGTTTAAGTGTCTCGCGAGTCGGTTTTAGTTCGGTTTAAACAGTTATCGGTTCAATTCGATTTTGGTTTATACTTGAGCGGTTTTAATTCGGTTCGGGTTGTAAGCTGTCTGGGTAGTAAACGTTTCAGTGCAAACGAGTTGCGGTTTGTTAACAATTTGGTGTAAACGGTCTTTATCCCGGTTCAAACAGTTTCGGGTTGGAAACGGTTTCGGGTTAGAAACAGTTCGGTTTTTTTTTTCGGTTTAGTTTATAACTAGTTCGGTTCTTTTTCGGTTCAGTTTATAGTTGATTCGGTTCTTTTTCGTTTTAGTTTATAACTGGTTCGGTTCTTCTAGGGTTTAACGTTATTTGGATCGGTTCCATTTTGAGTTTACTAAATTACGGTTCGGGTCGGTTTTTGGTTTTAAAAAATCGATTGTTTATCGAGTCGTTTGAATTCGGGTAGTAAAATGGTTTTAGTTTGAAATTTGATGGTACTTGCTAACCATTTGGATTCGATTTGCAAGTGGTTCAATTTATAAACGGTGCAGTTTATATACATTTCGGTGCTAACGGGTCGCGGGTTTTTTACGGTTGTAAATGGTTTTTATCCTAGTTCAAACTGTTTCAGGTTGAAAGCGGTTTCGGATTAGAAAGAGTTCGGTTCCCTTTCGGTTCGGTTTGATTTTAGTTCGGTTTAGAATTGGTTTGGTTCATTAACGGGTTCAGTTCTTATACGGTGTAACATTATTCGGATTGGTTCGGTTTTGGGTTCATTCACAAACAGTTCGGGTCAGTTTTTGGTTTCAAAAAAACGGTTTTTAAACGGTTCGGTTCTCATTTGGGTCGGTTTGTTCGGCCAGTTAAACAGTTTCAGTTTGAAATTTGACAGCACTAGGTGCAATGTTTTTTGTAATAATAGTGAAATAGAGGGAAGTATTTGAATGGATTTGAAAACTCTAGATATTAAATAACTTATATGGAATTTAAATAAGTTATACCCCTCTCACGGTGAATCTAGACTCAATTAGTACCATCTCAATATGAATTTATGTTGTGTACATAATAGAAACGTCTATTTTGCAAATAATTTATACTTATTGATAAGTGTAGACACCTAAAAATGTCTCCCCAAAACCAAACCCGGTGATGAACAACCTTTCACCGCCATTATTGGTCGGGTTGAGTATTTAATCTCTTGGAGTGCTTACATCCATATTTTCATTTCATAAACCAACCCAACTTCTATCTCATTTCCCCAAATCATAACTTATTTTCCTCTTTTCGTGCTTTTAAACCCAAAATAATTCATTTCGTGTCCTTTAAAATCATTCATTTCGTATCCTTTTTATAAAAACGTTTAATCCAGTTTATTTTGGTCCATAATCTGGCTCCAATGATTGAATAATTGGATGGGTCTTGAAAAGAGATTTCTAACGATATATTATAAGCCCAAATCCGAGTTATAACGAATACGTTATGGCCAAAATATTAAACTGAACCCAAACCGAACCTAAGCCCACCTTACCTATGACCCAATGATCATGTGGAGGGTCCAAATTATTTAATCCCATTCCTAAACCAATTAGTTTGAATAAAACTCCTTTTTGGAAAATCCTATTTCTATCCGAATTGAAAGATGTTGAAAGATAGTCAGATATGATTTTCGTGCCTCATATTTTTAATCCAAATTTTATATGGTTGGATAGCCCGTGAAATTATATTTCCAATGATATATTATAATATCAATTTCAAGCTATAACGGAAAAGATATGAATAAAATGTCAAACTCTATCAAAAACTGACATCGTCTAACTATTTCGGTCATATCTTTTGTTCCACGAAATATTTTAACCTGATTCTAATTGGGTTAGAAAGTATACTTCAAAATATTTCCAACAATATCTTATTCATCTTATTCCGATTTCTGGATCAAAAGATATGATAAAAACAAAAACCGTAAAAACTGCTGTCTATCGAGTTTTATTCCGATTCAATTCGGATCTTATCTTAATTCTTCGACCCCTCTTTTTTCTCTATAAATAGAGGTCATATCACCCCTTTTTCAAGTTTTAAAAATCTTGATCATCAAATAATTCTCTTCTCCCTCTTTATCCTAAACACTAGCATCCCCATTCTTTCACTATTCCTTCCTTTAAGCACTCCAAGGAGTTCATACAATACCCAAAGTTCTATACTTAAACCAAGGCATGAAAGGTATAATTGACTGAGGGTTTGGACCAAATCAAATCTATATTTATTTAATTTAATTTTCATTTGCTTTATATTTTTATTGAAGTTTCTAACAGTTTATTCATGATGTATCAATTTAAAGGAACGCGCGGAATGTGAGTAATTAATTAATTTAATTACTCTTATTTTATTTTCTTAATGCTAGTATCATGATTAGGTTAGTTTTATACTACCTCTGTTACAGGTTATGTGCAACGATTAGACATTTTTCCTCTCTGCTTTATGTCAAATCGTTGCACATAACCTGTAATGGAGGTAGTATTTGATTTGACTACACTAGTAGAAAAATACAAAAAGGCAACCCCCAAATGGCACCGGTTCAGGCCAAACAGGTGCAAAAATCGGCCTAAAAATGGGCGGGTTTTTAGACAAAGAGAAATGGCACCGGTTCAGATCAAACCGGTGCCAAAAATATAAATGGCACCGGTTTGAACCGATTCCATAAAATGTTAAAAAAAAAACGGTTCAATTCACATAATAAACCCTAAAAAAAAGTTCTCACTCCGCCTCTTTTTATTTCATTCCCTCTGATCTCCTTCTCTCTGCTCTCTCCCTTCTCCTCCTCTCCCTTCTCCTCCTCTCCCTTCTCTCTCCTCTCATCTCCCTTATTGATCTTCATCTCCCATGCATATTCGATCTAGCTCCTCTCTCTAAACCGATCTTCTTTCATCTCCTCTCCCTAGCTTCTTCGATCTCCTCTCTTTCTTTGATCTACACCACCACAAATTCGACCACCACCACAAAGCCCACCACCACAACATCACCACTGCCGCAAAGCTGCCGCCACCACCACAAAGGTCGACGACCGCCGCAAATCCCACCGGCAATTTCTGGGTATAATTTGTACGAGGTTAGGATTTAATTTGATTTTAATCGATTTTGTTGGATTTAATTTAGGGTTTAAAGTAATCAATTTTGGATTTTAATCAATTTTTTTGGGTTTATTTAATCGATTTTTTGGATTTTAATTCGATTTTTGTGGGTATAATTATCCGAATTTAATGGGTTTTGTATTTTAATTTGATTTGTTCTCGTTTTTTCTGGGTTTAATTTTGGGTTGATTAATCAATTTTAATTACATGCATGTGTTTTTTTGGGTTTTTTTAATTACATGCATGTGTTTTTTTTTTGGTATAATTTATACAAGGTTATGGTTTAATTTATAAGTTTAATTCGATTTTAATCGATTATGTTGGATTGAATTTAGGGTTTAAGTAATCGTTTTGGATTTTAATCGATTTTTCCGGGTTTATTTAATCAATTTTTGGATTTTAATTCGATTTTGTGGGTATAATTATCCGAATTTAATGGGTTTTGTATTTTAATTCGATTTGTTCTCGTTTTTCTGGGTTTAATTTTGGGTTGATTAATCAATTTTAATTACATGC